CAATTCAGCATATTCTGTGATTCTATGATTTAAGGGAGGGCAGGGACAGGGGCATTACAGTGGGAGAACTGCTACAAGCTGCCTGCCCAGGAAGAATGAGTGGATGAGGCCTCTCAGACAGATACGAACAGCCTCACATTCACAAGCCCTGGTCTTCATGGGGGATTTCAACCACCTTGACATCTGTTGGAAGGATGACATAGCAGGACACAAACAATCCAGAAGGTTCCTGGAAGGTATTGATAACTTCCTTCTCCAGGTGACAGAGGAGCCAATGAGGAGAGGTGCTATACTGGATCTTTTTCTCACCAATGGTGGGGAATGTGAAGGTCAAGGGCAACCTTGGCTGCAGTGACCATGAAGTGGTGGAGTTCAAGACCCTTAGGGCAGGGAGGAAGATGCATGGCAGTTCACTGCTCTGGACTTCAGGAGAGCAGACTTTGGCCTTTCATAGAGTACCATGGGATGAAGACATGGAGGGAAGAGGGGCCCAAGAAAACTGGTTAATAGTCAAGGATCACCTTCTCCAAGCTCAGGAAAGATGCATCCTGAAGAAGAGGAAGTCAGGCAAAAATGCCAAGCGGCCTGTGTAGATGAACAAGGAGTTCCTGGACAAACTCAGACACAAAAAGGAAGCCTACAGAAGCTTTCTGCTGTGGAAGGAAGGAGAGGGTGGAAGCCTGAGAGGGATATAGAGAAATTGTGCAAGCTGACAGAGATCAGGTTAGAAAAGCTAAAGTTCTGACAGAATTAAACCTGGCCCAAGATGTCAAGGCCAACAAGAAGAGCTTCTATCAGAATGTCAGTGATAAACAGAAGACTGGGGAAAATATGGTCCCTCTCTGGAAAAAAAAAGGACCCAGTTACCCAGGATATGGAGAAGACTGAGGTATTCAACAACTTTTTTGCCCCAGACTTCACTGGCAAGTGCTCCAGTCACACTGCCCAAGTCACAGAAGACAAAGGTAGGGTCTGGGAGAATGGAGGAGATTCTCCTGCTGTAGGAGAAGCACCAGTTTGAGAAAATCTAAGGGACCTGAAGGTGCACAAGTACACAGGACATCATGAGATGTGTCTGCAGATCTTGAGCAAACCCCTGGATGAAGTGACTAAGTCAGAATCCATCATATTTGAGGAATCACAACAGTCCAGTGAAGTTCCCACTGACTGGAAAAGAGGAAACATAACTGCCATTTTTAAGAAGGAAAATAAGAAACATCTGGGGAAATACAAGACTGGCAGTCTCACCTCGATGCCTGAAAAGATCGAGTCATGGAAACTCTACTAAGACTCATGGAAAGTAAGGAAGTAATGGTGACAAACAACATGGTTTCGCTAAGGGCGAATTGCGCCTGACAAATTTGTTGGCCTTCTATCATTTGACTACAGCTGTGGTAGACGAGGGATGAGCAACTGACCTCGTCTACCTGGACTTCTGCAAAGTATTTGACACTGTCCCACATGACACCCTTGCCTAAACTGGAGACATGGATTTGACAGACTTTTTGGTGTGGATATGGAATTAGCTGGATGATCTCACTCAAAATGTTGTCATCAATGGCTTGATGTCCAAGTGAAGACCAGTGACCTGTTGAAGTGAGTCCAGAGGAGGCCATGAAGATGATTAAAGGGGTGGAGCCCCTCTCCTATGAAGACAGGCTGAGAGAGTAGGGTTTGTTCAGCCTAGAGAAGAGAAGGCTCCAGGAAGACCTCAGAACAGCCTTCGAGTACCTGAAGAGTACCTACAAAGGAGCTGGAGAGGGACTTTTTACAAGGGCATGTAGTGATAGGACAAGGGGGAATAGGTTTAAACTGAAAGAAAGTAGGTTTAGATTGAATACTAGGAAGAAATTCTTTCCTGCTGGGGTGGTGAAGCACTGGAGGCCCAGAGAAGCGGTTGATGAACCATTCCTCGAAGTATTCAAGATCAGGCTGGATGGGGTTTTGAACAACCTATCCAGTGGAAGGTGTCCTTGTCTATGGCAGAGGGATTGGAACTACATGATCTTTAAGGTCAGTTCCAACACAAGCCTTTCTATGATTCTATGATTCATCAAAAAGTCATTGATGGGTATAGTTGCTGTGGAACAACAACAGAAAAACTAGGATTTAATGTATATGAGAATGAGATTTCAGTATCAGCAGTTCAACGGGTAAGTACCAAAATATTAATGATAGAAATAATGTTTTTGAAGAAATTCTTCATTTTCTTTTTGGATGATCACCATCACTTCCTTATTGTAGCAGAAAAGCAGATGGTAATACCCCTCAAGATCAGTTGCGTTCTTGTCAAAAAAGACTTAAAATAGCAGAAGAGAGATCAGTATTAAGAATTGTATGTGCTAAAAACTAACTTCTACTACTGTGCAATACTGTTCTTCATTAGACTTAGAAGAATAAATTTCCATCATCAAATTTTTTTAATGTCAACCATTATTGTTTTTGGAGGTGATAATTAACCAGCTAACACTACATGAGAAACATAAACCAAAAACATAATATATTCTTTTCTAACTAAAATAAGAAAAAGAATTGTTCTTCCATTTCTGCAACATCCCAAAGTCACTGGATGAGAGCAGGTTCCAAAAGCTGAGATAAAACAGGAAAAATGGAAGGCACACATTAACAACAATCTTCTCATTTTAAGTTTTGTCTAACTTCCACTGAGGTTGAACTCCTTCTGAGAAATTCAGTTCTACCCCTGTACTCCTATTGAGCTCTGTCCTGAATAAATTCAACAGATTATTTTGCACAAAAATACCTGCAGAGTATCTCATAACCAATTTCTCAGAATTTAATCATCAAGAATTTAGTCATATACTTACTATTTTGCCATGATAAAAGTTATCGTTTTTTCATTAGATCCCATTATGTTTTTTATACTTACTGCACCTACAAACCCACTAAAATCAGCTTAATTCTCCTTACTATAAAACTGAACCATCTGCTAAACCTATTTCAGAGATAATAATTTGCTAGATTTATCGTGAGCATGTTCTGAATTGATCTGATTAGAGTGTCTTGAGAATAAAGGTTGCAAGACCTTTTAGGATTAAAGCACCAATTTTAGCAAATTATGTTTAGTTGTTTTTTTGTTTTGTTTTGGTCTGATTTTGTGTCAGATGGACTCCTTTGGGACTGAGGTTGTTTATTGTTTTGCCTCAGCTCCATAATTTGGGGAGGAGGAGGGTACAGTATCAGTTAGTTATCCTCATATTTCTCTTTAGAAATTATTAAAACCACTACAACTTCTTGTGATATTCTAAGTATTCATAAAATACCTTACATTTCACATCAATATCATATAGTATAGAGAAAAAAAAAGGAGGGGGAAGGTAAAGGCCTTTATTTACCCCTGTTTTTGAGAAAGAGATCCCCAAATTACATGAGAATTGTTAAAAATCAGTACTTTTGTTCAGTTTTGGAAACACACCTGACACACTTTTTTTGTTGCAGTTGTAGAGTGACAGCTAAACAGACATAATGCCATGTGCCCATGGTAAGGTTGAGAGGAGCTGTTTGGCAGGGGATGGATCAGGAAACATCAGGAATGATACTAGATGTGATAGCACTCTGAAGTGGATTATCTTCCCAGGATTGCTGTGCTGCCTCATTTTGCCAGGGACTTAACTCTGCAAGATGCTGAGGGTTTTGAAGAGTGATTCAGTAAAATACCCTAACATCAAATATGTCTTTAAATATGTATACAAAAAGCCCAAGTGTAATATTACACACATCTTTGAACCAGCTTAATTGCCAGGAGCTGTCTACAAAAATAATATTGCTGCACATAACCTCAGCAGAAAAGCACCAGAATATAAGCTTATGACACCTGCCCAAATATTCAGAAATATGCTCTGCAGGACAAATTAACCTGAAGTGTTTTTTACACCACTTCTGAAGATATCACCACAATAAGATCAAGTATTTATATTCCACTTTCCATTATAAGCAAGACATGAGGTAATAACTCTCCTAACTTCAACTAGACAGGAAAAAAATTAAAATAAACCAAACACTTCAAGTGTGCAAACCAGACTTTGCCTTGTCTAGATGCTTAGATCATTACTCCAAAATCACACTCATATTGCAGCATAAGGATGCCTGGAGGCATGTTAACTACGCCCCTGGGCTCTTCAAGTATCACCAACTGTTAAAATTCAGCAAAACGTATCAAGAGAGAATGAAGGCGCCAAATGCAGACATCCTGAATGCTGACCATATAAAGTACTCATGATATACACAAACTCAGAAAAAGCAAAGCAATTTGTGGTTTTTTGTGTGAACAGCCACATAACAAGGCTACTCTTGTGAGTGTACAGAGCTCAGCATTTAGCTGGAGAGAAGGCTGTTTCTTCTTCTCTTCAAAAATCAATATACTTAGTAACCCTTGCTGATGTGTCATCTGCCACTATATAAGAGCATCCTGTGTAAATGAGACGATATGCATTCACTTGCAAATGGAGAGACAGAGGATTAATTCATAGCATTTAAAGGTTTCATAAAGGGCCAGGCTGGTAAGTTAGCTATCTGTGATGAAGGAACCAAAGTTTATGGGGTTTTTAAGAACTAGAAAACAACTTCAGTGTTACTCTTTCTTTCCCTCATCTCCTGTCATAAGCAAACAAATAAAATTCCTTAGTTCTTCCCCTTGTATTTTAATAACAAATGGATGAAATGCAACAGACCAAATACAGGAAAAATCTGTTGCAAAATAAATCACCTTGGCCAGAGAGGATGCAAGGAAGAGGCTACAGTATGAGACATTGGTAACAGGATCCTGGTACTTGTTCACTCTTAAAACTTATTAAAAGATATTCAGGGTCTTCAGCACTTGTTGAAAATGGAATGATTTCTTCTCAGAAAGTATAAACATCAATGAAATCTCTCAAACAATTTTTACATTTACCTTTCCACAGTTCTTCAGTAATTACCTTCCTAACTAAACTATAGGGCTTTTAAGTCACGACTTGAGCAGTTTTTTGTTGGCTGAAGAGACGATGGATGAAGTGCTTAAACGAGGATCTGCTGCTGGAAAATCTAAACCACAGTACCTAAGTCTAAGAGCAGTAAAATTACTGAGCATTAGCCATATTGCCAGACTCATAGTCAGTGCCCAAGATAATGGTGACAGGCATTCCGTATTACTATATCATCAATACGACCCCTCAAAATTATCTTTCCACCCACTGAACCAGTTAGTCCTGAGAAACAGCAAAGACAAGGAACTGTTCATAATCTTCTGTTATTTACCATATCCTCTTTTATTAAAGACTCAGTTTAAAGATGCACTTATCAATAAGTTGAAATCTATCCCGATAGCAGGAATTATTTAAATATCACTGAATTTCTCAGTACTGTATCTTTACCCCTAAGGAAAAATGTCTTTTAATTCTGCAGCCTCTGAGGTCTGACTGATTTTGGCTCTGGAGCCATGTTTTACTATTCTCATGGTACATCTGTTCTTTATTTCAGAGGTATAATTCCCGTTAATGTGGATGCATATTCTCTTACTATCTGTTTGAAAGGTCAGCTTGGGTTTCAAAAGCCAGTAAGATTTGTCAAGAGGCCTTAGTCAAAATTGTTCCCACAGACCACAATGCTCCACAGCACCCACAGTACCAAAAATCTCATTTGAATCAACCAAGTTATATCTATATGACCTCCAGCCACACTTTGGAACCTGAGCAGTGATAGGCTATTTATCTCCAATTAACCCTCAAGAGTGCCTCTATTTTGTGTCCTATTACATTAACATCCATACAATGTAGTTTCATCTAGGGAGTATTTTGAAATGCAAACATAAAATAACATTTAAACATTTCTTCCTATGATCCCTGAAGTATGGACTTTACACGAGGTATTAGAGAGGTACCTACAAAGATGATTCAAGTGGTATTCTGTTTCAAGTATGAGAAAGACCTAGCAAGACAATGAGAGAACATCTCAAATAATGCAAAGCATTACCTTTTTCATTTTGTTAAATTAACACGTAGAGTAATTTCTAATATCAAACTGCTTTGTACATACTACATAGGTTCCATTACTGTTGTTTACACTCAGACAATATTTTTAAAAAAAAACAAGTCCACATATTACAGGTCTACCTGGGAAGAAGCAAGAAATTAGAAACGTATCTCACCACAATTTAGGAACCAGATTTTTTAAAAGAGTTCATGACACCTTTACTCACCTTTCAATGTCAACAGTAGTAGACCTCAAGGCAGCCAATCTGGGTGTGTGTTTTTCAGAGTTATATGTTACACATTTATTTTTTTCTAGAATATAGATCATAAGAAGCTCTACTAATAAACAGCTCAGAGCTGAATTTGCCTCTAGTGAAACAGTGTTCTGAACAGGGTGGACGTACACTATGTTAGAAATTGGGTTTAATTTCTTTTCACTTAAGAAATGTGCTATATTTTAGAAGGCCGAAATTCATCTCTATGGTTTACATTTTTTTAATAACAGAAGATGACAGAGGAGAAAGAAAATCTGCTTGGGTGACCTCACACTCTGGGTGTCAGTGAAGTGAACTATTCCTAGTTAGCAACAAGTTTTCAAGCATCACCTGATGAACAAGATGACATGCTCCATTTTAAGTAGAACTGAGGCATTAATTGGAACAAAATATCACTCTGCTTGAAGAAAAATCATAGGTTATAGTTGCATTACTGTTTTGAATCACCAGTCAGACTCACCCTAATTAAAAGGGTGAGTTTTAGACCCTGATTGATTTCTGGGTGCTAAAAAGAAGGTATTAAAGCACAGTCCACCCACAGTGCACTTAAAGTGATTCAGAGCTGACAGGCAATAAAAGAAATATTGTTCCTCTTCTCATTTAGCAGAACAAAAATAGCTGTATGCAATTTTATTTCTGAATTTGATAAGTGAAAAATGACTCATTTTATTAGACAAAGACCATTTAAAATGTTAAAAAGCCTGATCCTATAATTTGCATATTTTGAAAATTAACGTGGTTCACCACAAAACAGTCAAATATAGTATTACAAGATACTTGAAAGCCCATCACATTACTTTTCAGTTTTGCATTCTGTTAATGGTCATAAAAAGTACACAGTAAAGATATTATGTAGCTGTTCATATATTGTTTCACATTTTGGACTGTCGTTTGACATTTAACACGATGGGAAGACCAAAATCAAAGGTCTTAATATGCTGCTTACACGCAGCAATAAAACAAAAAGAGAATGGACTAATGCAGCAAATCTGTTTTGAATTTTATGCCCCTTCCGTGCATTTACAAATGGCAAGGGGGTTGGAACTAGATGATCTTTAAGATCCCTTTGAACCCAAGTCATTCTATGATTCAATGAGTCTATGAATTTTACTCATTTGAAAAATAACAGTACAGTGAAATCGTCTGTAAGCCACCCAGCTTTTATAATTTTATATTTTACAGCAAAATAATTTTACATTTTATATAAAACTGGTAAATAATAAGCACTGCAACTGGAAGTATTAGGCTACAAATTATTTGAGAGTGTTATTTCTCTGAATTTTTCTAGGTCTGTGGTCCCTTCTTCACTGAAACTTTGCTTAAAGTATAGCAATCTCCACTTCCTATTAGGATGTGGGAGGGAGAGAGAGAATTGTAGTTAAAAAAATTACAACAGGTTTGCATTTATTTTAATTTTATATCTCTTCTTAAATAAAATCATCTGGCTGACAAAGTTAAAATCAGTGCAAAAGCATAAGGAGAGAAATAAGCACATCTAGAAATGAGAAACAGTGAATTTGAAAAAAAATAAACTTATAAGCATGGTCTTAAATGAAAGGGTTTCTTTTTTTTTGAAGTAAGTTCACTTCCCCTTTATCACATTTTGAATCATTATCATGTAATGAATGATTTTCATGAAAATATTAATATCTCACATTGCTTTTTACTGGCTAAGTGATGCAGCATTCTAAAATTTAATTATGGAAAAAGGAAATTACTGTTAAACTTTGTAATGTAAAATTCTTTAATTAAAAAATGAATTTGGCACAATCGTTAATATTTTATTGGGGGGGAGAGGGGGTGGTGTTTGGATTTTTTTTCATTTGGGGAAAGTTACATGTATTATACCACGTCAATGGCCCAAATGTTTGTAAAAGTATATGAAGGAAAGAGCAAAACTGCAACATCTTGAGAGCTAGTCTTTTCCTGATGAGATCTTGCTGATCAACTTGCCTTGAAACACCATACAAGGATTGCAGGTGGTCAGCAAATAAAGAGGGAGTCATGAAATGAAAGTTCCTTTTTACAGAAGTTAAAATATTTTAGTACTGGGGAAATGATCATTACCTTAAATTGAGAAGCAGTGGAGTAGTCTTTTACCTATCATGATAGTCCAGAGAACCCCCTTGTGATGCATTAGAGCAAACACTGCAGATTAAAACTTGAAGAAACCCTGTAAGTTGTTCTGGAAATGCACAGTCATTATTTATGCAGCCTTACTCTGGGTATTTGAACGTTTTCAAGGACAGCTCTAGGCACAGACTAAGTCACAAGTTGCCTAAGGCAGGACACTATAGAAGGCAGCAGAGTACCAGGGGTACTCTGTCTTGTCAGACTGTGCCAGTTCCCTAATGTGCCAGGCTTGCTATTACAGTTCTTAAACAAAGAGGCAGAAGGTCTATTTTAGGGGTGGAGGGGGGGGAATAATAAAAAAATTGTTTATTTCCACTTTTTTCTTGTTCTTCAAATGTACTTGACAGTACATTTACATCACAGGAAAAAGTTCAAAGAAAATCTATGTGCTGTTCACTGTTAAATATTAAAAAGTATAAATTACCAAATCAAATTTTGGATCTATAAACTAGAGTCCCAAACCATTATCAACCCTTCTCAGTAAGGAAGACATTAAAATACCTGACTAGATCATAAAAAACGTCATCTACATGTGTATGTAGATGATACAAGGGCATACTTACCTTTTTTCCTCTAGTATGGGCAAGATGCTTTTGAAACTCTAAGTTCTGTGAAAACTTCTTCATCAAAGGGCATCTTATTTTGGATTAAACCTACCTTTATTAAATCAAGTTCTGTTAAGGACAAATTGTTCACTATTGACCCAATTATCTAACCTGTGTGTGTACTTACCTACCCACATGTACTCTGGCAAACGCTATAATTACCCTAATGAATCACAAATAGAATTTTCGTTTTACCTTGCAAGTACCGGAAAGCAGTGACTAGAGCATGACTTGATTATATAAATGCTACCTTATTTCCAGGAATGATGACAGAGCTGGTAAAAAGTGTCGTTAAATATAGCTCTAAATGAGCCACTCTGTTCAGCAGATAGAGAAAAAAAAAACAACAAAAATCTGAAAAACACAGTGAAAGCAAATAACAAAAGACAAAAGACCTAAAAAAAGTCACCATAATCTGATGTAAAAGATGGAAGCCAAAAAAAGCACCAATAAACTGAAATTAAAAGCCTCCGTAGGAAGGATTTAAAATGGGAAGACAAAAACATATTACATATTAATGTAATACTCAAAAGGCAGGAAACACAATTGTGATTCTTCTCCTCCAGTTTTCTAATGTACTTAAAGCACCCATTTCCATGCAACCTCTACATATGAAACCACTGGAAAGCCCTCGTTATTTCTGCCAGTGTTCATTGTAATGTACACTCTGCAGATTACCTCCAGATCCCTTTTCTGAAGAACACTTATTTCAAATTTCTGTGACTGCAGGACACAAAATATTTTTTCTTACAGATATGTAGTGTCATGGCACTATGGCCAACTATGTTCTGCCTTTTGACAACTCTTCAACTTGTGAAAGCCAGAAAGTGAGAAGGTGAGAATATCTGCAAAGCTATTAAGAGAATTAGATGAGATTGCCCTTGAGTTCTACACAGTAGGATCCAGCAGATAACTCACCTTGGTTTCCTTTGGTTTCCTTTGATTTACTTTGGTTTTGGTTTTTTTTTAAATTGATCAGTGAACTTCTATCTGTGGCTGGATTATGGTTACACCTCCATAGGGTGGTGCCATGATTTTTTACGGCATCTTTATTTAGAAAAATGTTTAGGCAAATATTTCATGGGAATTTTCTTGGGAGGCAAACGTGCTTTCTGAAACAGCTATTGATGATCACAGTAACGTCTAAC